GTGCAGCAGATAAAATGTACCAAAGCAATATAAAAGATCAGAAGGCAGTAAAATATACTGGTTAAGAATACAGGCTTAGGAGCTAGACTTTCTGGACTTGAATACAGGATAAGAGGAACTACTTGTGAGACCTCGTCTAAGCTACTTAATTACTCTGTGCCTCAACTTCCTCATCTGTAAATAGGATAGAAACAGCTGCTGTGAAAACTAGAAGAACTAATGTAAAGCAGTAAGAAAAGCTCCTGGCACAAAGTAATTGCTCAATAAACAATAGCTATCAATTACATGAAGGAAAAACTGGTAGTAGGGAGACTGGTTAGGAGGTCAAGAAATAGTCGCAGAAAATAGAGATGAGAACAAAGAAGGGTATGTTCACTTGGGTGCTTGAAAAGACGACATATAGGACATGAGACATACAGGGAAAAGAAAAGGAAGAGGAGAATAACACCAAGGAATCTAACTCAGGACATGTTAGGGATTCCTACGGGACATGTTAGGGATAAGATTCCTACAGAACATGAAAGTATTAATGTCTAACAGTCACTGGAAAATACAGATCAGAAATCCAAAAGAAGGGAAGGAACTAGACATATAGGTTTGAGAGTTACTAACATGTGGCTGTGTTGGGTGAAGCTGTAGTAATGGAAGAGAGTACTCAGGGAGAAAGAGTAAAGCAGAAGGGTTGTAGGATCTAGTCTACAGGACGTGGGGCTCCAGGATCACAACAGCATCCACGGGAATTCCAATATAACCATCAATTGTCAGGAAGATAGAGAGGAAAAAATATAGTCATAGGAAATAATCCCTTTCTTCAAGAAGTTTTCAATGTCATTAGGGAGAAAAGACATACACCCATTAAATAATTTTATCATGATTGCTCAGGATTAATAGAAGTAAGGCTAAAAGCAGAGGTGGTAGTCTAGAAGGGCAAGAAAAAAAAGAGAAATTAAGCCGGAAATTGAAAAAACTAATGCTAACATAAAAAAAGAAACACGAATTCTATGATGGGGGAAGGAAAGGAGCAAACAAAAACTATTATGTACTGAATATCTACGATATGCCAGTAGCTGTCCTAGGATCCTTCAAATATTTTACCTTACTTCTCATAACACCCCTCTGAGATAAATATAATAGCTATTTCACAAAAGTAGTTTGAGCCATACAAAGTAATCTGCCCAAAGTCTTATATCCAGTTATGGGCATAAGATATGACAGTGTTAGGACTGGAACTTAGGTGGAGGGCCCATGATTCTCCACCATATTTCCACTTCTTCAATGTGGCAAAAGTAGGACATGTCAAGAAGGGGAAAGGGGCAATAAAAACTGCCCTAGAAGAAAACCTGAATTATTCTCACTTAATCTCACTATAGCATATTTAGTATGAAAGGGGGAAAAAATGACCTTTTAAAAATCAAAAGTAATCTTTCAATCTCAGAGAACAGACAGGATTACAGATGTTTCCTGCTTCCAGCTCCATCCCACTGATAGCACACAGTCCCCACAGTTAGAAATCTAAATTGCACACCCGACCATGTCACTCCTCTTTCTAAGCTTTCAATAACTCTGTATCACCAACAGGATTAAATAAAATCATCAGAACCAAAAGGAGAAAGTTATCTAACAAGCCTTGAAACTCCTTAACCTAGAAGGAATAAAAGAGAAAAAAAAAAGTTAACTTCTAAAAATAAATTCCCACTTGTAATTTATAACCCAACTTTTCTGACTTTAAAACCATAAAATAAATGAAATTTCAAGTGCCAGTTAAAGAGCAACATTGACACCTTGTGGTGAACATCCTAATTCAAGGGTAATGAGTCAAATGTAAGGAGTAAAGTGGTTCCTAATTAAATGTCTGCTTACATGAAACTAACTCTTAATCCAGGAATTTCCAAGGGTTAAAGAAGCAAAATGTAATTACCTGCTTGCACACACTGAATGTAAATTTGGAAAGACCTGCTATTACTTTGGTAAAACTGAAATCAAACTACATTCTTTTAAATACCGGCAGAAAAATCTGAATAAAACCTCAGGTCAGTTTTCTTAAAAATGGTAAACAACATATCCACCTGAAGGGGGTCTAATGCTTGGGTCGTAGGTGTTGCAAAATCCCTGCCTTAGTCAAGATTTCTTATTTTTTCTGTAACATTCACATTATAAAAAGTGGAAGGAAATATGCATCCTAGTGGCACAATAACACAGTGAAAGTTACTAACTAGAATATACTTTCAAAAAACAGACTCAAGAGACTAGGATTCTAGTCCTGATTCCAAATGGCACTGAGAATTTTGTGAAGTTAAGTAATATTAAAGAATTCAGACTCTATGTTTTCACATAAAATTACAGATCAAGAAGTAACAATTTCACACACCAAAAAAGCATCAAGGAAAGAAAAGGTATATATATATATATATATATATATATATTTTTTTTTTAAGATTTTATTTATTTATTTGACAGACAGATCACAAGTAGGCAGAGAGGCAGGAAGAGAGAGAGAGGAGGAAGCAGGCTCCCCGCTGAGCAGAGAGCCCGATGTGGGGCTCGATCCCAGGACCCTGGGATCATGACCTGAGCCGAAGGCAGAGGCTTTAACCCACTGAGCCACCCAGGCGCCCCAGAAAAGGTATATTTTTAAAAATTACTCCCATCTAGGTACAATGTTACCTGAATTAAAGAAGGGAAAATGAATGAAATTGATCAGCACAAAATTAAGTTTACCAGCAAGCATAAACCATGCCAAGAACTGTGAGGTAAGAAGAGCTTTTGATTTGGCAAACAGATAGATGGTGGTTACTCCTTACTAATGTCTAAGAGAATTATCAAAGGAAGTTCCATGTTACTCATTAATGTTGATGACTACAGTATTAAGTTTCTAGTTCCAGAGTAACTCTCTGGGCTCTGGTAAATTGGTTGGTAAATGGACACTTGATCTGGTTCAAAAGAGTACATCTATGTTACCAGCTATAAATGATACACGCAATGCTAATGATAAGGCCACTGCTAATAAATAAGGCAAATCAAACTGCTAACACACCTGAGGAATCTGGAAAGCACCCTAGAATTGAGACCCCCAAGAGACATATCATTGCAAGAATCAATGTTAAATAATTGAGCACTAACTACCAAATTCCCCCAATGATTTTGCATTTATGAAAGGCTCTGTGATTTTCAGAAATTTTCTCTGTCATTATGCTATGTGTACCTTATAACTACCTTGTAACCACCAATCTAGGAAGGTAAGTGAGATTCTGAAAAGGATCTGCAAAACCTGCTTGCGGGAAAACTTCACATCGACCTCCAGTCTGGCTCTTACTCACTGTGTACTCTCAGATAAATCCTGTAATGCCTCTTGGCCTCAGCTTCTACACTGAAGACAAAGGCTGATCCCTGATGTCTAAACACAAAAATCCTCAAAGAGTTTAAGACAGTAAATATGGAAATGCTCGTAAGTTACACAAACTTAAAATATTACTGCCTCTACCTTTTGGAAGAATCAGAAACGTTAAATGAATTCTGATAAACCAGGAACAACTGAATTCAGGGTCAAGTTAACCAAAGCATTCTCTATTGTACCACATTGTTTCCCAAGACCCTACAGCACTTCTTCAGTCCTTATTTTCCTGTCTCATCACAGAGCACTCAACACTGCTTGAATCTCTATTCCTTTAGATTCTATGATGCAATTTCCCCCCAGTTCTCCTCTTTTCACTGACTTCATATTTCCTTTTCTTTTGATTCTACTGATTTTGCTAATAAGATCACATCATCTCACACTTGGACAGTATCTTTAAAATAGTGAAATCCATACCCTCATTTCATGAGGAAAACAGGTCAAGAAATATTAGTGGTTTACTCACATTTCAAACTATTTCTGTACATTCCTCTTTGCAATATTTAAAACGCAATGTAGTCTCAAACTGAATAGACTCAAAAATACGAGTTATATATTTTAACACCTGCTTTTTCTCTCCACCATCCAATTACTAAGTCCTGTGTGTTCTCTTACATATCCTAAAAAGTCAAAGTGAAAGTACGGCTCAGATAAGAATCAAAAGTCATCAAATGTCTGTGGTTACTTTAGTTGAAATGATTGTCTCTTAAGAGCAATTTACACAGGTCATGTGACCAAACTTTATCATCAAGTATAATAAGATTCAAGATTTGCAAAGAAAAGGTCCACTTCATAATGTTTATAAAATAAACAATCATCCAATTGGACAAGAGTCCAACCATCCTTCTGGACTCTTCCTCTAGTAGATATATTGAAGTTGTCTAATGGTCTGAAATTTATGATGTGTTATGTAAACATTAGAAAAATACTGCCAAAATCAAATTTCAATGAACCATCTGTCTGAGTAGGGTGAACACAGGCTGAGTGTCACTGTTACCTTTGTTCTGAATTGCATTTATTTTGGTTGCCTGTCTCCTGGGAAAATGTCCTTGATGATCTACCACATCGAAAATTAAAAACAAATTTAGAAATGTTTCAAAATTAAGCCCAGACATTATGAAAATACAGAGTTAAGGCAGTTAGTTAAGCCTCTGAGCATAAGATTCATGCAAAGCTCCTTTGCCTTGCCAAACATGATTCTTTTAAGATGAACAGCAGGTCAAAACTCTAAGCCATGTCTGGGGCTATTGGAGGGCTTTTCTAGTAATGCTGTAGTTGTTAAGATTTTGATAAGCCTAAATTTTGTACCTCTGGTTGCTGCTCTTTACAGTACAGAAAACCAGAAACAGCTCATGTTCCTGTTTTAAGATCATTGGCTTCCAATCATTCTCTCCCACTGTCCAGAGAAAGGAAATGGCGTTCCAAAGGTTTTGTGAAAGAGATAAAGTTAAATCACTGTAGCTACAAAATTTATGAAGCTCTCACTAAAAAATGTTAAGCCTGAATAACAGCTTCTAAAGCTCCCATACATTTTCTCACACAGAAATGTCACAAACTCAAAATGAGGAAGATTCTTTAGAAAATGCAGGAGGTCTAGGAAGTTTCTTACCGCAGCAAAGAGAAGACATCATAAGAATTGCGAACACAGTTCTGATCCACCTGAAGAAGAATATTCTTCTGAGCATTTGAATAACCCTGAAAGACATTAATCGACAAATTAATGAAAGTAAAACAGAATGTGTAAAAATTAATCTTACTGTTTGTCTTCATTTGAAAATTATTATTTAGCCTCAGTAAATTCAAATCATTAAGGGATTCCAAAAAGTAAAATTTCCATATAACTGAAGTTTAACCTTTTAAGTAAGTGTATTTAAAATAAGTATCTTCTAGTATTTTCATAGAGAAACCCTGTTTTACATTATAAATTGTAGTGAACTTCCTGGGGAAGCCCCAGAAGGCTTTTTAACATATGATGTGACTGAAGATGAGTATTAAAAATAATATTTCAAGGGGCACCTGGGTGGCTCAGTCAGTTAAGTGTCCAACTCTTGATTTTGGCTCAGGCCATGATCTCAGGGTCCTGAGATCGAGCACCACATCAAGCTCTTCACTCAGCAGGTAGTCTGACTGAGATTCTCTCTCTCCCTCTGCCCCCCACACTTGCTCCCTCCTTTTGTCTAATAAATAAGTAAGTTCCTTAAAAAAAACAATATTCCAAGCATGTATAGCCATCATATATAATGTTTTTATGGGGAAAGGCATTCCAAGTTCTAATTAGTAATACCAGAAGTAAATATTTCTACCAGTGAAATAAAGGTGGGAGGAGCACCAGAAAGAAAACAGCAAAATTCCCTAAGAAGAAAAGAACAGGTATCTGTCATTTAAGAAATGCAAAGTAAACAGTAGTCAAGAAAAAGGACTCTAGACCCAGACCACGTGGATTATAATTTAAGCCCTTAATACACCAGCTCTGTGATCTTGAGCAAGGCACCTTAATTCTCTTAGTTTAATTCTGGTTTGTTTTTTCATCTAGAACACAGAGACGATAACATTATCTACCTCACCAATTGCTGTGGGAATTAAAAAAGAGTTATTACTTATAAAGCGAAAAGTATGAAATAAGTACTATATAAACGTTTGCTACCATACTAATACAAGCATTTTTTATAAATTACATTGCCACAGACATTAAAAGGTTATTAGGAGAATATGAACAACTTTATAGTAACATATTTGACAGCTTAGATGCATCAGACACCCTCCTTGAAAAAATCCAACATGCCAAAATTGAAATAAAATGTCTGAATATGTCTGAATATCTAAGTGAATAAATAATTGAAAAGCTTCCCGCAAAACAGTGTAGGTCCAGATGGTTTCACTGATAAATTCTATCAAACATTTAAGAAATAACATCAATTTAACACAAAAATAAAATAGAGGAAAAGAGAACAATTTCCAACTCGTAAGATCAACGTTACTAATGTTAAAACTTGCCAAAGATATCACACACACACACACACACACACCCCAATATCTCTCATGAACACAGATAAAGCAATCCTTACCAAAACATTAGTAAAGTGAACTAGTAATACGTTATAAAGATAAAACAGTCACACATCATAATTGCCTGAATTTAGTCTAAGAATACAATACTGGCTTAACGTTTAAAAATCAATCAATTAGAAAAATACATAATATAATCATAAATCTATCTTGACAGGCACACAATTATAAAGATACAATGTGACAATAACATAGAAGTAGAGGTACAGAGCTATGCAGAAGAATAATTTTTGTATAATACTAAAATTAAGTTGGTATTAATTTAAACTGTATGATTATAAATTAAGATGCTGATTGTAATCCCGAGGGCAACCACTAAGAATTAACTCAAAGATACATTGTAATGTATGTATGAGAAATGACAAAGAAATCAAAATATCACATGAGAAAACATATAGCACAAAAGAAGGTAGTAATGGAGGAATAAAGAAACAAAAAGGATATAAGAAACAAACAAAAAATAGCAGAAGTCCTTCTGTCTCTGTAATTAATTAAGTGTAAATGGATTAAACACTTCAATTAAAAGGCAGAGATCGGCTACACAGATTTCATTTTAATGCTATCTACAAGAGTTGTGCTTTAGAAACAAAAACACAAATAAGCTGAAATTGAAAGGACAGAAAGATATTCCATGTAAGCAGCAAACAAAAGAGAGCTGGAGTGGCTATACTAATATCAGACAAATAGACTTTAAGACAAAAAAACATTACAAGAGACAAAGAAGGACATTGTATAATATAAAGGGTTATAAACATATATGCACCTAATGACATGTAATAAAATACATGAATCAAAAACTGATAAAACTGGGGTGCCTGGGTAGCTCAGTGGGTTAAGCCTCTGCCTTTGGCTCAGGTCATGATCTCAGGGTCCTGGGATTGAACCCCACATCGGGCTCTCTGCTCAGCAGGGAGCCTGCTTCCTCCCCTTTTTCTCTGCCTGTCTCTCTGCCTACTTGTGATCTCTGTCAAATAAATAAATTAAATTAAAAAAAAAACTGATAAAACTAAGGTGGGAAATAGCTAGAGATGTCAACTCCCACCTAACAATGGAAAGCACAGATAAAAGAAAAGAAAGCACCATATAAAAGATAAACAAGGAATATAAGACATGAATAATACTATAAATCAACTAGACCTACTAGACGTATATAGAATGTTCCACCTAACACAACATATATACATTCTTCTCAGTGCATATGGAACATCCTCCAAGCTGGACCATATGTTCAACTGCCAAACAAGTCTCAATAAATTATTAAAAGTTGAAATCATACAAAGTATCTTATTTGACTGTAATGGAATGAAACTAGAAATCAGTAACAGAAGGAAATTTGGAAAATCCACAAACTACAAAGTGAACAACACACACTTAAGCAGTGAGTCAAAAAACAAATCACAAGGAAAATTAAATACTTTGAGGTGAATAAAAATGAAAGTACAGGGACGCCTGGGTGGCTCAGTCAATTAAGCGTCTGCTCAGGTCATGGCTTAGGTCATGATCCCAGAGTTCTTAGATCGAGTCCCACAGTGGGCTCCTTGTTCAGTGGGGAGCCTGCTTCTCCCCATGCCTGCCCCTCCCCCTGCTTGTGCTCTTTCTCTCTCACTCTGACAAATGAATAAATAACATCTTTATTAAAAAAATGAAAGTACAACATATTAAAAAATATGTGATATAGTGAAAAAGTGCTAAGGGAAATTTACAGCTGTAAGCATCTACATTAAAAAAGAAGTAATAAAGAGTTCAAATTAATAACCTAAACATCCACCTTTAGGAACTAGAAGAACAAACTAAGCCCAAAATAAGGCAATAATTAATAAATATTAGAACTGAGATCCAGGAAATAAAGAATACAAAAACAATAGAGAATATCAACAAACCAAAAGTTAGTTCTTTAAAAAGATCAACAACTCAAGCTTAGACTAAGAAAAAAAGTGAGAGAAGACACAAATCATTAAAATCAGGAATAAAAATGGGAACATTACTACTAACCTTACAGAAATAAAAAGTGTTGTAAAACACCTGTAGTGTGTGTGCCAATAAATCAGATAATCTAGACAAAACAGATAATCAGATAATCTAGATAAAACAGAAATTCCTGGAAACACAAAAACTCCCCAAAATGACTCAAGAAGAAATAGAAAATTTGAAAGACCTACAAGAAGTTGTTGAGACAAGTCAAGTCATTACTTAGCTAGACTACTCCCTGATACCACTGCCTCAGCATCCATTTTGTTTGGACAAGGGGCCTGCAAGGACTGTAAACTAACTAGAGCTCTCAGGGAAGCACATGTCCTAAACAGGACGCCACAAAGACACAAGCACTGTAAGTCTGTTTACAAGAACTCATGATGGGACTTGTGATCAATGGTCTCTCCCGGTTCCCAGTGCCTGTATGATGCGTTAAGCGCCCTTAGATAAAAGCCCTGGTGGAGCTTACCATAACCCTACTCTTTTGGTTTGAACTGACAAATCTACCTATAGCCCAGAATCTCCAAAGCACTCCACCCATAGACCTAATAAAGGAACTGTACTCCAGGTCCTACCTCTCTCTACAACTGCCTTGATCTCCCTCTCTGAGGTCCCTTAAATGCATGCCCTTATAATTCCTCTAGGACCTGTAAGTAAAAAACTTTTCTATTTCAATTTCTCTTGTGGTCTATTGCCTAACCATGGCTCACCAACCAGCATTCTGTGCTCTATCTAATAACTGTTAATTTAATAAAGTCATAGCACAAGAAGCTGAAATAAGTAATCATAAAACTCCCAGCAAAGAAAAGCCCAGAGCCATATGATCTGGTGAATTCTACCAATCATTTAAAGAAAAAAGAGCACCAACCCTTCTCAAAGTCTTCTCAAAAAAAAAAGAAAAGAGGAGGAAATCCTTCTTACCTCATTCTATGATGCCAACATTACCCTGATACCAAAGCCAGACAGTAACATCACATGAAAATTATAGACCAATATCCCTTATGAATATATATATGCAAAAGTCCTCAACAAAATACTAGCAAAGCTAATCCAGCCACATATTAAAAAATGTAAACCACTGGCCAACAATTCCACTTCTAGGTATAGACCCAAAAGAACTGAAAGCAAAGACTCAGAGAGACATTTGACATCCTTGTTCAGAGGAGCATTATTCACAACAGTCAAGGGGCAGAAGCAACTCAGTGTCTACCAACAGATGAACAGACAAAACATGCTTTATTCATACAATAAAATATCATTTAGCCTTAAAAAGGAAATGAAATTCTGCCATAATACAGATGACCCTTGAGGTGATTTATGTTTTAAGTAAAACAAGTCAATGTATCTGACTTATTTTAAGTTGGCCACTATTTAAAAAAAAAAAAAAGTTCGGCAATTCCTCATATAGTCAAACGCAGAATTAGCATTATGACCCAGCCAATCCACTCCTAGGCACATACAGTGTGCATACTGTATGATTCCATTCACATAATATACCTAGAGCAGAAAATCTGTAGAAACAGAAAGTAGTAGGTCGAGTACTAGGGGCTTGGGAGAGGGGGATACAGGGAGTTAGTGCTTACTGGGTAGTTTTTCAGTTTTACAAAATAAAAAAAAGTTCTGGAGACAGATGGTGGTGATGGCTGCACAGCAATGTG